TGGCAATCGTCCAAGCACACCAAGGTAATTAAGACCTGGCAATGACAGAGTCAATGTTATCGTTGATTGAGAATACTTTGATTGTACCAGATTTGAGTTTACCATACACTTTCATGTTATTGTACCATGCTTGATCAATATCGTTGTGCTGCTTGACTTCTTTCAGTAGTACTCTGTTTCTCGGACTGAGATCATGGTAAATTCTCACATTGGTGCCTTTTAGGTGGCGCTTGTTTGACATTACTTTGTCCTTAACAAGTCGGTCAAAGAATTTGGCTATGATTTGTCGTGGCTTCCCATCTCTTCCAGGCAAACGGTGGGCAATTTCAATGTGGTCAGGTTCAATCATAGCTCCTGCTGGCAGGTGATCATTTAGGGTTTTACTTCTTCCTGCAATCAAATACATTTTACTAAAACTCAAGAAAAATCAAAATCAAATAAGTTCTGCAGTTATTGTATTGTAAGAGATGTTTTGACTTAGTTATTTTTGAATGTGTTTTAATTCATCTATGTCAACAAATTAATCATTCTAACCTTTTAAATTGTTGCTATTACTTTTTAAACTACAGTGTATAGGATTCAAAAATGTCCATCCACTGTCTTTGCAAATTTTCCATTTTGAGATCGTACATGTTATAACTTTGTGAACGACAGTTGAAATGCAAAACTTTGTATAAATTCAAGCACTAAAGAAAACAACTATTTGTTTCGCTTCATGCCTCCAGGGTCGATTACTGGTTCGTTAATTTCAATTTGATGGTATACATGTGTGTATTCGGTTGTATTCTGCTGCAATTCGGAATGCGTTTGAATACAATGCAATACGACAATAAATATTAATCATGAATATATTTTACTTATTATGCTGTATTTAGTATGTATTCACATCGAATATAGAAAAAATATTTACACATATTCAGTTGTATTTGCCCTGTTTCATGCAGTGTACGCACTTTAAAAAAAAAACGGTAAACAACAATGGGTTTATAACGTCGGCCGACAGACTGTAGGGTCAAGAATGGTTGGAATGCCAGATAAATTAAATTTTTTACCAAGAAATGATCTAATTATTTTCCAATAACTTTTGCCATTTTTACTTAGATTGTCCATAGTATTTAGAATTAGTTTTTCATGAGAAAGTTTTGCTTCTTTAATAAGACTTGTCACATGCTTGGCCTGCTTAAAATATTGAGATTTATTTATATCAGTTGGAGATTTTGATCGATTTATTTGGAATATGCTGCTGGTAGATACTCATCAGCTTATCAATAAAGTTAACCGTAACATTGTTTAAGTCTAAGTTGTCATTCAAAATAGACGCCCAGTCGGTTTCCCTGATACAGTTATTTAAATTTCCAATGTTAGTTTCATCATATTTCCAAATAGTTTTATTGATAGGTGGGGACTTAAGAACCCTGATATTAATATTTGCTAAGACTGTGCTATGGTCAGACCCACCAATTGGGTCTTCTATAGTCCAGCTATTGAAGATATCTGGTGAATCTGTTATAATATGGTCAATACATGAAGTAGAATTTTTGGATATTCGTGTAGGTTTGTCTACAAGTTGAGAAAAGTTAAACCCATCAATGGCCTAAAGAAGTTTGACACCTGCTAGATTTTCATCTTGATTGTCAAACCAAATCGAATGTTTGGCATTAAGGTCTCCCATAATAACCACATGGTCATACTTGGGGACATGATCGTCAATTTTTTGAAGGAGTTGTGTAAAGTTTTTAAAGTATTGACGGGTTTGTTCAGCAGTTTGGCTAGGCGATCTATAACAGACTCCCATTAGAATCTTTTTATTGTTGAAACTGCATTCGGTAAACAGACAATCTAATCCATCAATATAAAATTCCGGAGGAAGTGCTTTAGAAGCAATTTGATTATGTGAATATATTATAAGGCCTCTCCCATGATCTGAGTATAGAGAGTTGTAATTTTCAATTTCAAAGTTACCAGAATCCATTTTTGATTTTGAGATGCCTGCCTCACATAAGCTAATTATGACAGGGTTGATATGGTTCACCCTTAATTTTAAAGACTCAAATCTGGCTCCATTATCAGCTGCTATACTATTAATATTTGAAAAAAAGATATATTAGGTCACCATCCGGATTCGGCCTAGGATTTGGATGAACATCACCTGCTAAGAGGAGAAGTAGTGATATCATATTTGGAGAGTATAAATAAATGAAGCTTCCTGGAACTAGTAAGCAACTCAACAGAAGTTGAGAAGAAGTTTAATTGCTATAATAATAGCATGAGGGCTTGGGACACATTTGACATATATACTTAATTGAAGGAAGAGAAAAACAGGGATTACTGCGAAAATATTTCAAAAGCTAATGAAGTAACCAGCAAGTAAAATGAGACTTTGGAACTGTCTGTAGCCATAGAAAATACTCACAAATGTCACGAGAGTGAGAAATAAATTTATTGTGATTGCTTATAATAATTATATAATCAAAATAAAGATTCATTCATACTTCTAAATGACTGTACAAATTTAATTAAATGATAGCAAGAACAAGTTATTAAGAAGAGAAGGTGGACCCCTCTCTCATGTAGCACTGTATAGGAAAATATAAGGTGATACAGTACTGCAACAGATTTGTCAAAGCACATATGTGATAAAACTGATTGACAAGTTGACAGACCTTACAAGGCCCTCCCACAAGTAGAGTATTATTCATATATTCAAGTTTAGAGGTACTTCTTTAATGATGGATGTGGGGCAGTATTCCAAATAGCAGGTGAACAATATATCTTGCAAGCTGATTGGCCAGTTACAGACAAGTATCCTTGAAGTGAAAAAATAAAGTCCCTCCCCTCTGTTTACCTATTTATGGACAAACTAAATAGTCCGGATGTGAAGTGCCATATTTTAAGTGAAGGTGGAAATGCTTATTATATGAACTTTTTTTGCATTTTCTGTTTAAACATGATATCCATATTCAGAAACTGTCGGATGCCCAACGGGCACCCTTGAGGAATTTTTTTGGCGGCCATTTTGAATTTTCACACGTTTTATGTATTTTAGCCAGCATATTAGAACAGAAAACTAGCATACACATACACAAATCTTTCTGTTTTTCTATAATAGAGTTTTTATATGATTATACCAATATGTTAGGTTCCAGAAATGTTTCTTGACAAAAATAAAAAAAATTCAAGATGGCCGCCAACCTTACAATTTATGAAATGTCTCATTCTGTGATAATATCAAATGGATATTAGTGTTTCCTACAAAATTATCAATAAATAATACTAAATACATCTGATTATGATCTCTTTCTCACATATAAAATATCTGAAATGAGTAAAAAGTAACCTACATAATAATAATGATGTTCCACAAGGGTCATTTCTTGGTGCTATATATATCTTGATTTTATGAATTCTCTTCTTTTACTAAGATTTCATCAAGGATTTCCCTCAATAAATCCTCATCAGTTTCTTCCAATTCCTGTTCAGTTACTGTCTTTGTATGTTGGTTATTGCATTCATTCCCCTTGCAAACACAGAACAATGTACATGATAAAGATGCCTTGGAGCATGAACATTGCCCAGTTCTACATACATTGCCCTCTGATGCACATGTGCACTTAATGAGCTGGAGAATCCCTTCAGGGGCACAGGGTGTATCCTTGGGCATTGTTGTTGGGACAATTGAGCCTGTGCTGTTAATTCCCCAACCATAATATGTTGGAAGGATAAGTGGGGGGTCAGGCATATCAGCATTTTTCCATATAGCTACTTGGAAATGAGCTCGCTTCACATGCTGGAAAAATGCTTCTGTTGTTGGTGGGAGGGATTTTAGCTTTGGTGCATTTGTAATGTGTTTTGCAGCATTTTTCTTTGCTTATACAGCATATCTCACATCAGACATTTTGTCTGTGACTTTAGGTGTAATTTCATAACATTTAGAAACAAATTCTGTTGAAGTTTTCTCAACTTCAGTCATGTCTGCATTGACATCTCCCAAGTTAGTGAGTGAGTATCTATTTAACACCTTCAGGACTGTTAGCTTGCCAATTCCATGCATGCAAGATGTTGTATCACTGCCAGAGAGACCATGCGCAGCTAACAAGTTTGGGATTTTTAATTTGTGTTCATTTACGGTTGCATTTATGTTAATGTTTGCTCGGCCAGGTGATGTTCCCTCCATTATGATGTTATTTTCCATTAACTTGTGCTTGAGACAGTGATGAAGAAGAAGAAGGAAAACATCGGTATCATCACTGAGTACACTGATATTCTGTTGGCCTTCACTGGCAGCATGCAGAACCTGGTGTACGATAACAACATCTGCTTCTTCTTGAGTGTTCCTTAAGTCATTACGTTGGTCAATATTGCCTTTGTGAATTTGTACAGGTGTTGGATCAGGACCTGTGATAACAAGGATGCTGGAGAATGATCCTTCACTAGCTTTTTGAGTGAGATGGTCGATGACACACTTTATCAACTGGACCTTATTCTCAGTCACATTCAGAACAACATTCTGTGCAGGAAGAGGTGTGTCAGAGCTGAACTTATGCACTCTACTGGCTGATTGAGCTCATAATGACCTGGTGCTGTTCTTAATGCTATTGTCTTTATATCTGTCAAAGATAAGGTATACATCTGATTCGGTTAGGAATCTCAGGATGTACTTAGTGAAAGCAATACAGAAGTTTTCAATTTTGCCAGCCATCGGCCATGTTATGATCCAAAGGATGGCACACCCATCAACGACACGTACATTGCAATTGTTTCCTCTTGAGGTCACCTCAATCTGTAACTTTTGTTTCAGTGTTGATTTTGAAGTTGTGATATTAATTTCTCCATTTTCATCAAATAGTGATAATGGAGGGAACATCATCTGGCAGAGCAAACATTAACATTAATGCAACCGTAAATGAACACAAATTAAAAATCCCAAACTTGTTAGCTGCGCATGGTCTCTCTGGCAGTGATACATCATCTTGCATGCATGGAATTGGCAAGCTAACAGTCCTGAAGGTGTTAAATAAATACTCACTCACTAACTTGGGAGATGTCAATGCAGACATGACTGAAGTTGAGAAAACTTGAACAGAATGTGTATCTAGATGTTATGAAATTATACCTAAAGTCACAGACAAAATGTCTGATGTGAGATATGCTGTATGGGCAAATAAAATGCTGCAAAACACATTACAAATGCACCAAAGCTAAAATCCCTCCCACCAACAACAGAAGCATTTTTCCAGCATGTGAAGCGAGCTCATTTCCAAGTAGCTATATGGAAAAATGCTGATATGCCTGACCCCCCACTTATCCTTCCAACAGATTATGGTTGGGAAATTAATAGCACGTGCTCACTTGTCCCAACAACAATGCCCAAGGATACACCCTGTGCCCCTGAAGGAATTCTCAAGCTCATTAAGTGCACATGTGCATCGGAGGGCAAGGTATGTAGAACTGGGCGATGTTCATGCTCGAAGGCATCTTTATCATGTACATTGTTCTGTGTTTGCAAGGGGAATGAATGCAATAACCAACATACAAAGACAGTAACTGAACAGGAATTGGAAGAAACTGATGAAGATTTATTGAGGGAAATCATTGACGAAATCTTAGTAAAAGAAGAGAATTCATAAATTCAAGATATACATAGCACCAAGAAATGACCCTTGTGGAACATCATTATTATTATGTAGGTTACTTTTTACTCATTTCAGATATTTTATATGTGAGAAAGAGATCATAATCAGATGTATTTAGTATTATTTATTGATAATTTTGTAGCAAACACTAATATCCATTTGATATTATCACAGAATGAGACATTTCATAAATTGTAAGGTTGGCGGCCATCTTGAATTTTTTTTTATTTTTGTCAAGAAACATTTCTGGAACCTAACATATTGGTATACATCATATTAAAACTCTATTATAGAAAAAACAGCAAGATATGTT